GTGATAATTTTGAATTAGTGAAGCGAATCAATAAATGTTTGATACTTTGATGTGATACTAATTTCTCTTTATATAACAAATTATTATTTTTACTCTGATAATATGGAAGTGTTTTTTTAATATTTTTAAATTATTTTGATGTAATATTATTATACTATATTATAATTAATAATTATACAGGCATCGATATAAGACAACAACGTCTCAATGTTCATCTCTTTTTACAAAGTAATAAAAGTACCTAATGATTTTAGAAACGAAAAGAACAAAATTTTTAGAAATTTATAATGATTTTTTTAAAAAAGTTTGGGACAAAAATATCGATTCAACCGATTCCCTGAACCGGATCACCAATCAGTCTTTTTAAACACCAGTTAGAAAACCATCCTCCACACATTTTTTTTTATTTAGAAAATATCTTCATATTTTATATTTTTAAGTTCCATTATTTAATAGACTTAAAATTTGAAAACATATCTTCTTAACTCCTTAACTAGTTTTATCCACTTGAAATCTAGTTTTTAATCCAAACAAAAATGAAAAAGATACGCTCTTTAAACCCTATCATTTCTCAATCTTCATATTCTCCAAACCTCTCTTTCTCTCTCTCCACTTATCCCAAACCCCTACCCCCTCTCTCTCTCCGTATTTACCTTCATTCTCTCTCTCCCCGTATTTCCCAACACCATTCTCTCCCTCTCCCTCTCGCCTCAATCCCCTTAATCCGTCTCTCTCTCTCTCTCTCTCTCTCTCTCTCTATCGCTTCTCTCTCCATCGCCTCTCCCTCACATCTTATTCGAGGTTGTAGAAGTTCCACCATTACTACACCTTAATCCTGCAAAAAAGCCTAAAAAGAAGCCCAAAAGCCAAAGCGAAAAGAAAGCGAAGAAAGGGAAATACAACCCATTTCTCCTTTTCCATAACCACAGACTATGAACCTGCAAAAACTCAGTTTAGTTGAAATTTTTGTAGTTTAATTCAGTGGAGGCCATGGCCATAGTTGACGCTAAATCTCCTTCCAAAGGGAGTCCTTCTTCGGCTAAAGCACAGAGCCTTTGTAAAATGCTTTTTGGCAAACAAGGACTACTTGATCTCAAAAGGGTCAACCTGCTCATAAACCACAAACATAGCTATGGCCAAATCATATAACGGTGTGTTCTTCTGCTTCTTGTGCGAAAATATGGAGTCTTTGTAAAATGCTCTTTTGGCAAACATGATCCACTTCATCTCAGAAGGCAAACCACAATGATACCTATGGCCAAATCCAGGCTAATACACACTTCATCTCACACGGTTTCTTCAGTGGTGAGAGAGAGACATTTAGAGAGAGAAATAAAGGCATAGAGAAGACAGCCAGATGTGGCTTTTCAATTTTTGTTTGGGTCAAAAAAGGTAAATGATTTCAAGGGGTTTGAAAATAAATTTTTTTAAAAATTTACCTTTTAAAAACCTAAGTCCATGGGATATGAAACACCAAAACCAAAATAGAGTACGTGGAGATATTTTTTCTTTGTTTATTTATTGGCTCTAATGCGACGCCCCGCGCATCTATGTATTTATTTATTTTTTAAACTACTTTCATTCACCGACCTTTTTGAAAAAAGGATAACCCCGCCCCCATGCGGATCCCGGATGTACGCTATTCTTTTGCGCTCATATTTTGCTTTGTAAGACCAAGACATAACAATAGAAACTATTCTCTCTACCATCATTTTCCTCTTTTCCCTCGTAAATATTTACAACATTTATCATCCAAATTTGTGTTTTATTACGTAATGGATCATTTTTTTTTCTTTTTTAACTTTAATGGATCCATATCTTTTATGATCCTTTTTTTTTCTTGTCTATTGTGTACAATATTTCTTTTCATTGATATCGTTAGGCTGTGAGCTATAATTAAATGAGTTAAAATGATATTAAATTTGTCATAGACCAGCAAATTGACACTGGATATTATAGGTGGCACGTATTGAGGGAGAAAAAAAAGGTCAATTTACTTCCATTGGCAAATAATAAACTTAGGGAGGTTTCTATTTGATACCTTGGGATCTATTTTAAAATCATGTATGCATTTCCATAAATGAAGAAGATTTTGATTAAGAAATTTCTAAAAAAAATCATGAAAATCACTTTTGTACCTCGTTTCTTCACTTGAAATCATACAATGAGTATGAAAAAGTTTCTAATCGTATTGTATCAAAATAATAAAAAATTAGCATGAAAATTAATATCAATAGATATTGACATAAGACATAGTATCTAGAGTATTCACGCATTTTTGTCAAATATTATAAGTCCATAATGCACTATCCCCTTTTCTTTTAGAAACTCCAAAAAAAAAATATTTGTGACGATTTTTATTACTTTTTTAAAATTTGAGGTCATTAAAAAAAAAATTGAAAAAAAAAAAATTCCTTTAGAATAAAGAAAGCATGTGTGGTGAGAAAGTAGAAATAGGGGGTCTTAGCATTTTCCCCAATTGTATTTTGGTTTAATAAAGGAGAAAGGTTTCTATACTTTTCCTACAGCATAGAAGAATTATACTTCCCCTACCATCCAGCCATCCAATTTTAATCAAGAGAGCCATCCAATTTTAATCAAGAGAGCCACTCACCGTTTGATCTTAGATCCGACGTCTCAAAATATTTTATTTTTTAATTTTTTATAAAAATTGTATGAATATAAAATTTGGTATGTCCCATATTCTCATTGGAGCACACCTATAAAAAATATTAAAAATAAATTTTCGATAAAATATAATGACCAAAATACCCTTTGAATCTTTCAGGTGTATTGTAGTCATTTTATTTTCTTGAAAATAATTTTTTTATATTTTTCACTAGTGCAAATTTAATAGAGGATTGGACGTCCAAAATTTGGTGTCAAAATAGTACATAAAAAAAATATTAAAAATAAAATAGTGTAGAGACGTGACATTGTAATTGGGGCAATCTTAGCCCTCCATTTAGAATGGGCGGTTGGATAAGGGGAAGTATATAGTTTTTTCTTGGAAAAATTTATATAAATGTGAGGCCCTAAATAATCACATTGAGGCGCACTTAAAGTTTTTACTATAAGAGGTTGTTTTGGTGCCCAAAAATCTTTAAATCGATAAGCTCGATCTCAAGATATATGGATATTAAAAAAATAGATTTCAAGTTTCAAGTCTTGAATATAGTGCATCTTGTAATGTATTTTTGGACCATTAATTTTTAAGAGTTTCAAGTGTTCATAGATCTACCTGATCTACACTATTTTTGAAGGTTTAAATTTTATAACTAGGGATGAAAAGAAATTTCAGGCCATCATAAAGATTTCCAATAGTTAAACAAGGTCTTTCAATACTAATTGAAAGTATGGTTTACTTTGATCTTTTAGGGCCTCAACCTTATACAGACCACACCATAAATCAAAAGGTCCAAAACTATTGTATGGGTTTTTATTCATTTATTTATTATTATACAATTATGAGTTAGAGAGGTGCTTTTTATTGCAATGCAATGCATTTTAAATCTTTTGTTGACCATAAATTTAATGTAATGGATAAAAACACTCAGTGAAACATACTCTTAGTATTTATGTATTTTTAGTAAAATAGTAAAAATTATAATTCAATATCATTATAATGTTTGGAAATCTAAAAAACTAAATTTTTAGGAAAATTCTAGTGATTTTTTGAAAATTTTTAATTCTAGATCTTGCTGATCCAGTTGATGCTCTGATCTGGATAACCGATCTACAAATAAGATAGGGTTGTTGGGGTGGCCGATCGGGGTCACCGATTTAATTTTTCTTAACCTTGATTTCAGATATTTCATAAAATATACGCCATTCACAACTTGGGGTACCATTTGCGCGGGTAGTTTTGTTGCACAGACATGAATAATTGTGTCAATGTGTGATATAGGTACGAGCGTTAGAAATGACACTCTAAAATTTTTGTTTTTTTTCAACATCCGCGTGCATGCCATTTTTTTTCACTATTTTATTTTTAATATTTTTTTTATGTATTATTTTGACACCAAATTTTGGACGTCCAATCCTCTATTAAATTTGCACTAGTGAAAAATATAAAAAAATTAGTTTCAAGAAAATAAAATGACTACAATACACCTGAAAGATTCAAAGGGTATTTTGGTCATTATATTTTATCGAAAATTTATTTTTAATATTTTTTATAGGTGTGCTCCAATGAGAATATGGGACATACCAAATTTTTTATAGGGTGACACTCTCGAGAGTGTTTAACACCCTGTCAAACCGTATATTAAATTTATTTTTTGATTTTATGACCGCTTTAAACTTTTAAAAATTGAGATTTTAAAAACATCATACCACGTTAAACCCTTTAGAAAACCTTAAAAAAAAAGTAAAGTCTAAATAACCTTTATAAAACCTTAAAAAAAAATAAGGTCTAAACAAGATCCAAATGCAGTCTGATATTAGAAATATCGGACCGTCTTAAACAAATGAAACTTAAATGGACAACTAATTTTACCAACCGGTCTAATGATTAAAAAAATCAGATCGAGGCAAATTTATCGAAGTAATAAAAAATTTCAAGAGGTCCCTCATTCCTAATAATAACAGCTGACCTTTTTCGCTATAATGGTTTAAAAAAACAATACAGACCTAAATTTTCCAAACCATGAACGTTTGTATTCATGTTACCCAGTGCATGCGGAACAGTTGGCATTGAATACACATACAGAAGCAGATTCCATATCGTATTTGTTTAGCGTGGAAACGGGTCCTAACAAAATCTCTTGGGCGTAAGCAATGTGGATCCATACCTTGTTTAACGTTTTTATGGAAATTTGTAGCCTTTCAACCGTTATCCAGTAAATAAGATCAATTCCAAGGGACCTCAAAATATAATGACCAACAAGAAACAGAATACTGGGCACAAGGTTCTCAAGATGACTAATAATAATAAAACTCTTTTATTTTATATATCTCCCCATGCATATAGGCAAAGGATAGAAAGCAGAGTTTTGCAAACGAGGAAAAGATAACTTTGACTGAAGCCGTATAGAAAAACCGCTCCTAAATTCCTAAATATACAATGATTCTTGTAATCCAAGCTAGGAACTCAGCAAACGGCCTTCCACATTAAGATCAAAGCCTGTGAAAAGAGCAACAAGGGTCAGTAATTATTTCGCGATCGCGGCGACTAACGAAGAAGCGGACATGAAGAAACATAAGAGGATTAGCGTAGCTTACGAGTTGCAGTCGAAGTTGCGGTCAAGGGGGAACCCAAAGTTGCAGCCGCATTGGTTGAAGAGGTTGACGTCGACGAGGACGTCGAGGTTGAGCAAGTAGCTATGGAAGCACTGGCAGCATTCCTTCCTCTGAGGGCCGACGGAGAGTGCGGCCAGGGCCTGAAGATTCGTGCAGCAGCCGGGGATTAGGTTCGGAAGGAGGGCGCCAAGAACGCCGACCTGACAAAGGTCAAGGGCTACATTAACTCGAGCACACAGGTCTAATACTTGAGCATGAGCTGCAAAGGCAGAGAGCAGAACCATGGCCAAAATGACCAAACCAGAAGCCCTAATCTGAGCCATTATCACTCACAAAACAGAAAGAAAACACTAAGATTTGGAAGAAGAGCAAAAGTGGAGGTGGTGGTGATCAGGCTATGAAAGCTTGGTATTTATAGGGACCTCTTGGGGACCGAGTATGGGATTTCTGTTATTGTTAGGGCTGAAGTGTGTGTAAAGAAAGAGAGAATAAACAAAAGCAAGTAGGAGGCCCTATTGGAGTCAAGACCTCCAATTTCGCTGCCCCCACGTGTTATGACGTAGCGGTTTCATCTAATCCGTTGGATTGGTCGGGGGAAGAAGGTGATTAACAGAGAAATGAGAAGGGCCGTGCGATCATTTTCCGGGAGATTTGGGCGGTGGCGACACGTCGTCTTGGTGTAGTTTTAATTTTGATTTGTTTGTGTAAGGTGAGAAGTTTATATATAAGGTTGAAATAATATTCCAAAAAAAAAAAAAAAATTATATAAGGTTGTAAATTTAGATGCACCTCAAAAAGTCCTTATGAAAGGAGTGTTTCGATGTTGGGGAGCCCTCCAACTGATTGTCTCCAACTCAAGATGTGTGGATACAACAAAAAAACAAATTTTAAATCTTGAAAATAATACAACTTATAACAAGTTATCTAATTTATTTGTTTTTAAGATTTTTAAATATTTTTAAATATTTAGCATTTTTAAAATTTTAAATTTTCATAATTAAGGAAAAAAGGTGTGCCTTACTTTTAATTATAAGGCGGGGGCCTTGTACAAACCTCACCCTCGTTTAAATTAGCAATTTAAGTTATTCCGTGGCAAGGGTCATAGCTAAATCTCCTCTGAAAGTGTAATTCTTGCTGTAGAAATCCTTATGCAGTAGAAATTCTTCAAGTATTTAATGCATGGAATTTGGAGGTATAAAGATGCATGTAATTTCCAGAACTACGCAAACACTTAAAGATAAATCGCCTAGATAATACATTATGAAATACACTAATTTTTAGAAGGAAACCGTTTATATAAGGCATAAACATTGTGATGTAGAAATAAGGCGCATCTCGAAAAGGCAAGAGAGGTTAGAAAAATGGTTGTTTCGATGCTAGAAAACTCATCATCTTGACCTCTAGATATATGGTTATGAATTACCTCTAGATATATGGTTATGAATTAAAACAAAAATCACTTTTGAGTGCCAAAAATAATGCATCTTCTAACATGATATAAATTTAAGATTTTTAAGTGTACACATGCTCGATATATGGTTATGAATTTTTTTAAAAAAACCAATTTTGAGTGCTAAATTTTTTTTATACAACTAAATCATTCAACAATGTGCGCTTTGTGATTGTTTAATGTTGCCACCCCTTTTAGAAAGTGAAATACATAAAGGAAAACGTTTGTATACAGTTGAGGCTCTAAACAATCAAATTAGAGCTCGCTTTAAAAATTTCACTAGAAGAGTTTGTTTTGATGCTTACCTATCTTCAAGCTGATCATCTTGACATCAAGATGCATGCACATGAGAAAAAAAAAATAGATTTCAAGTTTTGGAAATAGTTTATTTTGTTTTGTAACGTATTTTTGGACCGTCAATTTTCAAGATTTTCAAGTTTTCATATATTTGTCGATCTACACTATTTTTTATGCTCTAAACTTTATAAATAAATATGAAAATATATTTTAAGGCTATCAAAAATATTTTCAATATTGAAACCACATTTCTCGACACTATTTGAAGGTAGGCCTTGACTTGATTGTTTAGAGCCTAG